GTAAAAGTTTTCAAACTTCCTGATACGTCAATGAAAAACACAAATTAAATCTGATTTATTACAGTACAGAGAAGATGTGAAGCTCTGCTGTCCCAAGTCGTTTCCAGACTCTGGTGTCCTTGCCACTCCTCCCTTCATACACATTCTTGCTGAGCAGCGTGCCTTCATGCGAGTGTGTGTTGTTAATCTGGTCAGCCTCCTGTGTGTGTGATGCAGCTGCATGTGTGCTTCGTAAACCCACATGGGAGCCTCTTGTCCAAACTTATTTCTGAAATATGCACACATAACACTGCAGTCGCATGCACTCGCAGGCCAGAGCTGAGGTCAGCGGTGATGTTGGAACCTCACGCCACATATTTACATTCTCGTTTTTAAGGAAACTGTATACAAGGCAGTAGTAGATGGTGATCCGGCAAGGTTTCGCTTTTTTAGGGGGGGAATTTCCTTCATTTTATTTCTTTTTCTGAGGGGGAAACAAAGAGGAAAGGGGGTGCGACTATATAAAATAGCTTAAGGAAAGGTATTTTCAATAAATAAATAAATAAGTTAATAAGTTAAAGGGGTCTGTCTATACATGAGAGGAAACAGATCTGTGTGAAAGGTTTTATTTGTGTTGGTTTCCACTTTTGTGCGCGGTCTTTAGGGGCTGTAGTTCAGGCCGAGAGGGAGCAGTAACCTAAACTCACCCCAGAGAGATTCATTTAGTCATAACCGACATTGTGACCCTGAAGCTAAATCTGAGAATGATTGTCCTTTAAAGGAAGTTTAAAATATAAGAAAAGGGCAGCAGCAGTGGCGGCCGGCCCATAGGGGGCGCTGGGGCACCGCCCTCCCTGATAAGAAGAGAGAAACGTAAAATATATTTTTAGAAATTAACTCATAAATGTCAGTTTTACTCTCTAGACTGTGTACCTATAAGCAAAACAAATTATATAAACTACATTTCCCTATCTACTGTCATTAATTTGTGGATTTCCACAGACAGACTCCTACCGTCTCTGTTCTGGGGGCGCTTATCAGACTGACCCACATTTGCAGAGAATCTGTCAATCATGTACTATTGCTAGGTGAATTTAATGGCCAATCAGCGTCTCGGAACTTTATGGTATTGGGGCGCTGAAAATACTGCGCTTTAACAGGCTTCTGCACCCAAGCGCAGGTGCAGACAATTAGAGGGAAGATGGCGAATGTAAAGACCGAGATGCAGCTTCCACTAAATTCGGTGAGATCCTTATTTATCTACCCGTTTGCCAGAAGAATATCCCTGTTGTAGGATATGAACATTTCATGTCATGGTTATTGTGACTGTGACGAATCCACCTCGTCGCTTAAAACAACCTCTCTAACTTTGCGCACCACACACACATTCCTGTTATACTGTGTTTGTGAGGACCAATACACTCGCGCAGAGCCAAGTAGCTCCATGAACTTAAAACACACAAGCTGTTCCTGGTTACCTGCTGGCGTATTGAGGGTGCACACTTAATATTTCAGTGGGGTTAGCCGTGTGTGTGTGTGTGTGTGTGTGTGTGTGTGTGTGTGTGTGTGGGGTATGTGTGTGTGTGTGTGTGTGTGTGTGGGTGTGGGTGTGTACGTGTTTATGCTACGGGGACTTGTCATCTTCAGTCTGGCTGCGTCTTTGCTGGGTTCAAACCCAGTTTGGTGTAATTGAATAAGTCAATGAATCTGTGTAAAAGAATTAAGTTGTAAAAATTATTTGTTTTTGTACATCAATTGTTTGTGGAGGTAATATATGGACAAAACTGATTAATGAGAAGAAATCAGAAATAAGAGAGCCTGATGTGAGGGGCTTAAACTATTTAATGAGGGCTGTGGGAAGAAAAGCGGCAATTTTTGTTTTCTGTTTCTTTGTTACATTGCTGGTAACTGGAGGGAGGCTGAGGCCCAGAGTATCTTGTATGTTTAGTTTCTTTTGCACCCTGTTTTGATTTTTTGAGCTCAATAAATCACCAACACCGGTAACCCGACTGAGACTGGATTCTTGGAGGCCAAAGAACCCCGTCACAGTGACCCAAATCATCACTGTTACTGTTATTATATAGTAAATTATATCATTACTGTTAAATTGTATGTATTGTCCAATTGTTTATTTGAATTCTTATTCCGGATTAGTTGGAGACATACACTAGGCTATATCAGCCCCACCAAAAATATTTTTCACCAGCCGCCACTGGGCAGCAGCCATACATAACAGTGAGCTAGTTTTGAAAGCTAATAGGGTGCTAGCATGGTATGCGCAGGCGGTGGTAAACATATTTAAGGAGGTATTAAGCTGTAGAGTCGTTGTTTTCTTAAAATATCCATAAGTAGCCGCTTTCAGTCAGAGAATGCTGTGCCCACGTAACCTGTCACAAAAAAGTTTCTTGGCAGGCAGTCTCTTAAGTCAGTAAACTGCCATATTTCAATGTGACACCTTCTTCTGCTTCAGATATTTTCCTTATTTTCCTGACATATCTTTCTCCCTTGTGAGTTAGTCCTGGGCAGCTCATGGGCCGAACAATTTTAAATGTGTTTTGCGTTTTCTGTGTTAAACTACACTGTTCACCTCCAGCCCAGTCATGGCTGCTACTATAAACCTAATTATTTTGACTGCTTTTGTTCTCTTTGAGGTTTTCAACCAAAAAGGCTCAATTTCAGAATGTGACAGCTTAATAATTTGGTGACCATATATAATCAATGTCACTAATGAGTCCTGCAACAAAGGTTTTTTTCTGATACTGCATGGGGTTTGAATATAGTTTTAAAATATATTCTTACAATTTTGGAGGAGGGTGTTTATAAAAGAATTATCATATCTCAATTGTTTGTTTTATTAAACTTTGTGTTATATTAACTTTAACGTGTGTATGCTATGCAAACCTAGCTAGCATGCTAGCATAGCTAACCTTATGTGCATGATTGTCATATTTTGCTACAACTGGACAACTAATAACTGATTGAATTTGCTTTTCTTCCCTAAATCAAGGAGATTTCAAAATAAACTCAAACCCCAACACCACTACAGATCATTTATGAAGTAAATGAATGGCTAACAAACCCCTAGCATCAAAATGTAACCTAAATAGATCTTTTAGCCTAAAATAATTAGCTAAAACAAAAGATCATGGCTAAATCTAAATAAATGAAAAAAATATACATAGAGTGTTCACTAATATTACTCTTCAAGTATCATAAAGAGTGTCTGAAAAAAAGTGAACCAAACTAATTCCAGTGAATTTTCCATAATAATGTGTTGTACTTAATTCAAGGGGTTAATGTTATTAGCATGTCTAATGTAGCATTTCTCCTGAAACAATTGTAGCTCATGTTTTCTTTAAACATATTTAACATTTCCTCTTATTCATAATTTTTTCAGCTTGGTTTTGAAATAAATTATGTATTAAAATAGCTTTTTAGAAATGGTTATTTTGTTGTAAAAGCAGGCTGCTATAGTTAATTTTCAAGTCAACACCAATTTTTTTGTAGTTGTTTTTATACTGTCCACATTGAAAAGCGAATATACTAGGGTTGCTTGCGTATTACAGTTTGAAATCTACCATCTTAGCGCCCTTAGCAAAAAGTAGTATACTTGAAGTAAATTCTATTAAGAATACTTAAGTATAACTTTAGAAAGTATATCGAACAATTTTCTTTTAGTGTATTTGAAGTATTACTAAAGTAATACTTCTTCGAACTAAATTGGGACATTTTTAAGTTTACTAAAGTATACTTAAAGTATACTGAAAGTATACAATAAAGTAAACAATAGTATAGTGAAGTACACTTGACTATACAATTGTTAAGTATATGCAACATAGTTTAGAATAAGTAAACTCTAAGTGCCTGATTTTAAGTATGAAATTAGTGCACTTTTAGACTACTTGAATAAACTACTTTTTGCTAAGGGTGGACCTAAATCAAAAATTTGCTAAGAGTTAACATTTAGCCATAGTGTGGTGATTTATGCGTTATTTTTTACATATACAACTATAGATCCATCTATTTTACTGTCTAAACCAAGGATCTTCAACATTTTCCAGGCCAAGGACCCCCAAATTGTTTGAAATTGTGTTATATTAAACTGGTCCTATAGTCCCTCTATGGAGTCATGTAATAAAAGTAATTTCTCCGTGGGATTATTAAAGTATTTCTGATTCTGATTCCTGGTTGATGGGACAGGTGTTGTGAATGAAACGGTGCCCAGCTTGAAAGAGCTCCTGTGTGTCGCTGAATGTGTGCATTGATGACTGAAAGACATCTTCTGCCTCCATTTATCTGTTTAGTGGAAAATTTTAGGGGGGAATATAAAAAAAAAGCTTAATCAATCAAAACTTTCGCAGTACCTCCCTGTTGAAGACCTCTGGTGTAAACTATGGTTAATTGATGTCTATGTGTCTACAGGGGACATAAAACTTATGGAACCTGTTGATTACACATTAATTGCAATTTTCTGGTACTGAAAAGGCCATTAAAACCAACTTTGCTAACCTACAGAGACATACTCTTTCTTAAAGATTACTATATGGATTATCTTTAAATTCCAATTAAACAATCAAAATCTACATTTTTTTTTCATAGCTTCATACTTTTAAAGTATCTAATTAAAGGTAAATAAGTGTGGTTATGGTTTTAGTGACAATGATAGACTTTCTTTCAGTGCACCTACAGTCAGTCTGGCAGTGAGGATGTGAGTCTACATTGTATTAAACATCATTGACTCATTAAAGTCAGAAGTTAAAAAATAAATTTGCAAAGAAAATGCTTGCAACCGCCAGCAGAATAAATAATCTTACAGTATATTCATACAAACCAGTGCAGTACAAGTAATAATTGTTGCTTTCATATCATAGTGATTGCTAGATTGCTGATACAGTAATAAACTTGCAGAGAAAGAGTCAGGTAAGATTCGAGGAGATGTGGAAATGTGGGATTCTGTGCCCTTGTTGCCGTGTGTGTGTGTGTGTCTGTGGTGAACTGGGTGGGGGTATCAGCTGTAGTACATTCATGGTGAGGGCTCATTGGGCGCTGTTCTGCCTCTGCCCTCACAGTCCAGGTCGGCTTCAGGGGTCGTCTGCAGGGGTTACTGTTGACACTGGCAGCTCTGGGGAGACGGATGTCTTCTTCCTAGAGGAGGATGCATTTGCCTTTCTCCACCCAGGGGTTGTTCTTCATCAGCTCCGGGTTTAGGAAGGGATCTTCAGGTACACCGTCCTCGATCCACTTAACCAAACTTTATGGAAAGAGAGAAAGAGAAGATTGCTTTTACTCCGAAAAAAATATGCTCACTTAAATATTTTCTTTTAATTGTAATAGCTATTCTATTAAAATCCAATTAAAGCATTTTTCCGTATCTCTGGACAAAAAAAAAACGGCCATGTTCTTAATATAGAAACCCTCCTTCAAGTTGAGCATTTGCTTTATAGTTATCCTGTTGAAAATGAATCATTTATATATACCGTATTTTCACGACCATAAGGCGCACCGTACTAAAAGGCGCAGTCTCAGTTATGTGTGCCATTTCTGTATTTAACACACACATAAGGCGCACCGGACTATAGGGCGCGTTTTTTATATACAGGTACATGTCCTCTCAGGTGGATTTTCCCACTTAAAAACATATTAAAACTACTTTATTCCCACTGATCACAGCAAATAAAGCTGCAAGGTGTATTTATTACAAAGTATTATTCAAACCTGGGAACCGGCCGTGAGAGACACATCGCTGATGACACAGGGCTGTGATTACTCCTCTGATACAGTTTATTGACGCATAAATTAACTTAAAACATAGGCAGAAATGATGCCGGCTTTTGCGAAAGCTCGAACAACAGTCCCAGCAGAAACGTTAGTCCAAGCATCTACAATCCATCCGCAAACGGTGGCGTAACTTGCCCGGCGCTGCCTTCCACTTTTAGTGAAACTGTGCTCTCCGTCTGTCATCCATCGCTCCCACGCCGCTCGCAGCCTTACTTTGAACGGCCGGTTCACACCGATGTCGAGCGGTTGAAGTTCCTTTGTCAGACCTCCCGGAATAACAGCAAGCACAGCGTTCATTTCTTTGACCTTTTTTTTCACATCGGCTGTGAGATGGGCACGCATGGAGTCACAAATTAACAGAGATGGTGATGCGTGGAAAAAACCACCTGGTCTCTTTACATACACCTCCCTCAGCCAAGCTTTCATCATCTCCTCGTCCATCCAGCCTTTTTCATTCGCCTTAATAACAACTCCAGCTGGAAAAGTCTCTTTAGGCAAAGTCTTTCTTTTAAAAATCACCATAGGCGGCAGTTTCTGTCCATTTGCGTGGCAGCCAAGCACAACAGTAAACGACGCCTTTTCATACCCCGTTGTGTGTATCGCTACAGTGCTGGTCCCCTTCTTCTCCACGGTGTGATTCACCGGGATGTCGAAAGTGAGCGGCACCTCGTCCATGTTGGTGATGTGGCTTGGCTGGATGACTTTGTCAGCGATGTGTTTGCTGCAGAAAGAGTGGAAGCTCGGCAGCTTTTCATCATAATCCGCCGGACGTCGCTGAGCAACTGTAGTCCTGGTCCGGATGGAAAAATTGCACCGTTTCATAAAACGGAAGCACCACGATGGACCTCCTTGAAAATTTTCAATTTTCATTTCTTCCGCCAGCTTTACTGCTTTTAGTCGAACAGTGACCGTTGAAACGCTGGCCCCACTCGTTCTTTGCTCCACGATCCACCGCTCGAGTCTTTCCTCCAACTCGGGCCACCTCGCCTTATGTCCGCGGAAACTCAGCTGCGTCTTCTTCACCAGTCGGAGTTCGTTTTCCAGCTTCCTCCACTTGCGAACCATCGATTCATTTATATTGAATTCTCTCGCAGCTGCTCGATTTCCATGTTCCTCTGCGTAGCTGATAGCCTTCAGTTTAAACTGGGCTTCATAGGCGTGTCTCTTTGCCATTTCCAGGGTTGTTAAGACAACAATGTTCTGCATAAAGCACATACCTGTTCTTTTATACACAAGCCACGCCCACACTTCCCCCTTTAAGGTTCTCACATACTCATGGTGGTCTCAACAACGTCCGCAGATAGGGCGCACCGCACCATAGGGCGCACCCCACATTTTGAGGGAAAAAACAGACGTTTAGGTGCGCCTTATAGTCGTGAAAATACGGTATAAGAACAGTGGCTGGTCTTAGGAGGTCCAATCTGTGATGCTGAAAATGCAGCAAGGATTGCACATTTTAACAAATAAGGTGTCCTTCACTATAAATAAAGATAATATTGAGTATTTAGTTTCAAACACGTTAATTTGATGAAAGCAAAAATAGCATCTAGAGGCTCAATGATAGGAAGTATTTTCACACTTCAGTAGGACACTGATAAAAAAAAAGGTGTTATGAATTCTTATCAATGTTATTTTATTTGGAAATGATAAACATCATTTCTATGTGAATGACTAACTGCTCAACTACAAACAGAACTTTTAAAGGCTACGGAAACCCATTGACGCATGCTTTTCTGATAAGTCGTTTCTTTTAGTTTTTGCTCCCTGTATTTCTTACCCTGTGAGTTAGCAAATAAAAACAATTGTGAACATATATGTAGGAATAATGATGTGAAAGCGCATTCTCTACGGTGTGAATTTTGGTTCATTGCGAGCAGAGGAAAAGTTCTGATAATGTACATTTGAAAAACACATTTTGTAAATTAAAATAAAAAAATGCACTTTTGAAATGAAACTTTGAACTTTGAAAAAGGTATAAATCCAAATAGGGTTAAAAAATTAACTTCCATTTTATTACATTTTGTTTTTATTGTGTTGTATCACTATCTTTGTGGGGACTTTCCATTGACTTCCATTCATTTTTACATCCTAACCATGACTCTAACCCTACCTTAAACATTATCAGTATATTCCAAACCCTAAACTTAACCTAAATTTAATTTACACCATAACTCTTAACTGACTCTTTAAAGTTAAAAATGGGGGTCCACCACATTAGCCTCATATGGTTAGTAAATATACCAAAAATTGTTTTAAATAGGTAACATAAACACACATTTCTAAGACAGACAGATATAATATTGTATTTTTATATACAGATATAAGAGATAAAACGTAGAGGTTTGATTTAAAAAATGACACAGAGAACCTCCAAAACTGCCTTATAATGCCATGACAAACTAGACCATGATTTTAAGAAAAAAATATGTAAACTTAATGTTGAAATATTTAAAGGAAACAGGGAAGATGTTTTTATGACAATACAGCATTTACATCCTATTTGAAAGCAATGAAATAACTACTCTGGATATAATATTTAAATATTTGTTTAGAACTTTCTTTGACTGTTAAACTGTTAACTGAGGTATTATTAGTTTCAGGTTGTGCTCCAATTGTTTCATTTGTTACACAATTTTCTTTAGCTATTTTTGATTTTATTCTGATTTTATTTTTCTAAAGTTTCTAAAGTTAAGTTTCTAAAGTTAGACAAAATAACTTTTACTCTTTAGATGGTGTTAATCAGCCACATATAGTTTATTGAGCAGCGAGGGCAGAGAGCTGTGCAACGATTTAACTTTTAGCAAACCATCAGGGTGGAGCGCAAGTGCAGACAAGGAGTTATGCGCATGCAAAGTTGGATTTCTGCACAATAATAGCTGGCAGAGCAGATTCTAAACCCTCATATCAACCCCCATCCCCATGCAGGGAACCAAAACATCTCGCCTTGTTGGTCAGCCAGGTCAACAATCGCCCCTAACGGCTCCCCTTTCAGAGGCATAGACCAGAATTGAGTATTGCGGGCTAACAAAGAACCCAAACGACTCCCCATTCCTAAGGGTTGGACCCGTTCTTCCGGTTTAATTTGCATGGTTTCTAAGCCAAAACAAGGCGTTGTTTTGCTCCACTCTATAAAGCTCGGACCTCAACGCTATTGCTGACATTTTGAATTGAAAAAGCTTCCTGGATGGGAAGTATAACGTCTTCAGACTTAGAAACAAAGTCCAGTGGTTTGTTTTTAAATTTTCTGGACAGGCAGAGCAGAGTTTGTCAGAGCTGAGCGCCCATCAATGACCTTACACTGAATGATGATTTAAACATCGCACATTTCTCTCGCCAAGCTCTTCCCACAGAGCAAAAAAAACTGCCATGATTTACAACCAAACGGTGTCTACCTTTGGTTGAAAGGTGAAACGTCTTTTCAACGTCTGTTATTGGACTAAAGTGGGACAAAATCAGACCAACCAAACATGGACCAATTTTCAACAACTATTTCTGGATTAAATAAAAAAAATGACAGATTTAGCCTAAAAACCAACATCTAAATTGTTTAGGGGGTTAGGATGGTAACGGTGCGCTGTGTATTTCTGTGTTAATTTGTAGACTTATATTTATATATAAGAATATACCTCATAAAACTTCATCTGACAACAATATCTTTTAACATTAAGCCTTGCTATGCAGCATGTCCAGGTTTATGGATGGACAGCCAAGTCTGGGTTTAGTGTGGTACCATAATCCTTAATTTGTCAGCTTATGGGTGGGATGTTTGAAGCTTAGAAGCCAGCACTGTTTACAGCTCTGCACCACTTTTTTCTGCCTCCCTGCTGTGTTCTTCTCCCTTCATAATACTTTCATATGTTTGCTTACAATCTTAGAGCCTTCAAAGACCCTTTTGTGTGTGATTTATTATTAGACAATTAGATGACTTCCAAAGAATGATTTTTTACAGGAGTTTGTTTAAAAAATGAGATTAAAGACTTGACAAAAACTCTAAAAAGGTTTTTAGATCATTTTTTTTAAACACCTCAAAGACAATCACAGCCACTCCTGTGAGCTAGATTCCTAATAAAATGCACTTAAATACACTAAAAAAAACAAAAATAGCTCAAAACCTATTAGGATTATTGGGTAAAGCAAAGAACAAATTTTGTAAATAGAAATTTGAAAAAAAACATGCAATCCAGAAATGAAGCCTTGTAAACTTCCTTAACAGAAGTGCTGTTTTCTTAGACCTGTCCAAGTTTTAAGACATTCTTTTTTCTTTTTCTTTTTTTATGATTTGCTTTCAATTTTTTTTTTGACAGATTTTGTAATTTCACAACACATTTCATCTCAAAGCACTTTACAGTTCACCAGATCATACAGTCAAATTGATTCAAAGTTTTCTATCTAAGGAAAACCAGCTGATTGCATCGACTCATTGACTCGAATGCAATCCCTCACACTAAGCATGCTTGTAGCGACAGTGGAGAGGAAAAACTTCCTTTTAACAGGAAGAAACCTCCAGCAGAACCAGGCTCAGTGTGAGCAGCCATCTTCCCACCCTCTCTAACGAAGATTGGCCCAGGATAAGTCAAACACAGACCAACATGTATCCAAGTTCTATAACCTGGAGACAATCACACACTCGAAACACAAATCACCTTCATGGATTTTGCTTAAAGAGTATTGGAAAAAATATCCATTTCATTCAGGCAGTATTTAGATCCACTCTCCCTTTCAGATTTGATTTTTGTCACCTCTGCAACGTACCAGTAGAAATGAAGCTTAAATGTAAATTAAATCTGGAAGACTCTTATCAGCTTCACCTGCGATGCCCTTTGTTCAGCTCCAGCCGATCAACTCGGGGGCCTCACCTTCTTTAAAGTCAATAATTTTACAAAATCTCCTTCATTTAGCTCCTGGCCTAGCTTTTCTCTCCGGCACGCAAGCAAACTTTCACCCACCTCCCCCCATCTCCTCCCTCTAGCTTATTCCACCTCCAGTACCTGGGCCCCAGAGGAAGAGTACTCTAATCCTTTTCTAGATTATTCATCCAAGCATATGTTGATTCACAGCGTCAAAGTCTTCTACCGGGGCCCGAGATCCAAAGAACTTATTTTATTTATGAGTTTATCTGCTTCTGTCTGCTCAAACCCAGTCGGCCTCAGCAGATGGCCGCTCACACTGAGTCTGGTTCTAATGGAGGTTTCTTCTGGTTAAAAGGGAGTTTTTTTCTCTCTACTGTCGCTACAAGCATGCTCGATGTGAGGGATTATATAGAGTGAATTAGTCAATGCAATTAGCTGGTTTTCCTTAGAAATATTTTTGAAGAAATTGATTGTGTTACCCGTATAAATTAAATGAATATTTTCTAATTGCAGCTTTTCTCTGTGTGAGTCTCTCCAGGTTTAATGACCCTCTAAGAACAGAACCCTGGTCAGGATTAGAGGTATTGGCATGAGTGTTGCGATTCGATACATGTCGCGATACTTGGGTCACGATACGATATTATCACGATATTGCAGTATCACTATATATTGCCATATTTTCCCCAGCTATCAAAATCAAAGGATGAGATAAAACAGCAAGTGCTGTATATTTTCATCAGAAAATATTGATTAGGTATTATTATCCATGTTGTTTGGGGTTTTCTTCCACTGTGACTGCCTCAAATACAGATTTGGTGCTGCACGCACAGTTGAAAATCGATACTAAGAAGTGAAAGATCGATATTATATTGGGCAGCCGAATATCACGATATATCGCCAAAACGATTATTTCCCACACCCCTAGTCAGGATCCTACCAGTTGCTGCTAAAAAAGCCATTAAAGGTGGCTGAAACCTCAAGTACCCACGATTAAAGATTGGATACTGTACAAAATATGTAAAATGGAAAAACTAACATTCTCCCTAAGATTGCAGAATGACAGATGTATTAATATATGGTCAAACTGGACAGAGCACATCATCCCCAGTAGAAGTGAATTTGTCTAAAAGCTAGACACATGTGCAAGGTAAGCGTTTGCATATTTCATGTAATCAAAGTTGTAAAGTATTTGTGATACATTGTGAATAACTGCTGCATTTAATTTAATTTCCCTCTATTATGCTTTTTTTCCTTTTTTTTAATAATTTACTTTGCTGTATTGGAAATGTGCTACTTGATCTGAGCACTGGAGAGGTTTAAGAAAATGGTAAACTGAACATGCAAACTATCTTTGACATGATATGTAATTTAGTTTTAGCTTCCAATAAAATAAAATAAAATAAAATAAATTCTATTCCGCAGATTAAGTTTAATGTATAATTATAATAATTGTGTTTTCCAGATCACAGTAGGATTAACTGCGCCTCTTCTGGAAAGAGGGTGAGTTTACAACTGAGCTGATGGGCGGAGTCAGAAGTCTGTGATAAAGAAGGTCAGAGCTGTCTACAACTGAACAAGGTCATGTTTGATGCAACTTATTGATAGAAAATACATAATAAAACATATAAAATAAACTTTGCTTTGGGCTCCTATGTACTATATGGATGAAATGTCTCACAGTTAGACCCAGATGGACAGTAACAAGACAAGAATATTAAACAATCAGCGAACTATAGCATAATATTGCATATATATTTTTTTGATATATATAAATAGAAATAAAAAAAATGTAATCCAAAAATAACAAACTTTATAAAACTTCTAAATAGAAAAAAGGTAATTAAGGTAAGCTTGCTTTTTTTTCTTTTTACTGTTTTTATATTTAGTTTTCCAAATGTTGCTTTTTTTACTTTATCATCTAAATTTATTTTACAGATTTGAAACTTTTGAACTTTATTTGATCAAATTTCTCCTTTTCAGATGGTGTTTTACAGATTCTCTTCCAACACAAGGTTGTTGCCAGCAGACCAATGAAAATTTGTCTTTGCTTTTCCCTCTAGAGGAAACCCTGCCGCCAGACGTGAACAAATATGATCTCCAAAATGCTATTTGAAAAACAATTTAATAATTAAATTTAACTTCAAAGTTACTTTTTTATTAAAATTTTTTTCCACGTTTTGTTTCTAGATAGCATTATTTTTAAATATCCATTTGTAAAACATGATCTCTGCTTGCAACAATAATGGATCAAACTTCACTCCGTATCCATCTGATCAGAGCATCTACTCACTCTGTGACTGTTTTGGAGGATTTCTCTCGTTTGAAGGCCAGCTGGTACTTCAGGCTCTCCACCTCCTTCTTCATCTGGGGCAGGTCCATCTCATCCATGGTTGCAGCTTGATATGGAGTTGTTCTACCTGTGCACACAGAGAGCAGGCCAGAGTTATATTTATATAGCACACTGTTCAAACAGGAGGCCCACTCCAAACTCAAAGCCCTGCAGCAAGAGCATCACAAAGAACAACGGATTTGCTGCTTAGCAGTTAAATTTATCCTCTATATCATATATGTATGTCCTTTCTTTTGACTCTTTTAAATAGGAAAATGAAATCCAGTTTTATTTGTTCTATTTGTTTTATTTTCGCATTAAAAATCATGAATGCTTTAACTTATTTCAAGTATAACTGATCGTCGGGTTGATTTTTACAAAATGCAAAGAGGGAAAACCTGGAAAACTGTTAGGTGTTCTTGTCAGAAAGAGGAAAAAGAACAGCATGTACTTTCACACTGTCCCAATTCCCATGGAAGTCTGCGAGCGACCGAACCTTCCTCTCACCTTCACATCCGCTGAGACTGGAGAGCTTACAGAGGCAATAAGAAAAGGGCGTGAGAGGCAAACAGAACCACCGCTGACTGGATTTAACTCTTAATAATAAGGATTTCATTTTTATTTATCAGGGTTTGATTCTAGTAAAGTTGAAAATACTGTACACAATGAGTCAGCACACAAACGTTGATATTTAAGTCCATAACAGCTGAGAAAACGATAGGAAAAAGCTTCAACCTCCACTCACACCATCAATTTCTTAATTATACTTATTTTCTGCAGACTAGTCAAGGGGTGGGCTGCATGACACAGAAGTTGGGAGTAAACGATTTATAAATGATTTGTTTTAAGTGGCACTAAACCTGGAAGTCACAGGTCTAGCGCCCCTGGTGGCTAAACAAATAATTAAAAAGTTTTGAGAGGTAGAATTCATAACACCCTCAGAAAAAAAACTTTTGTGTGTGATTCTTGTCTTCCTCATGTGGATCACATTTTCCATATATGATCTATTTTCTTAACATTTTCCATATTCCATTCATTTTTGATCACATGTGGAACCTGTGATTGCATTTCTGACACATGTGACATGTGCAGATTGTGCTCTGTGTGTTACAGCAGATAGAAGACGTTTTATCATTGTCTCCCTTTTATCTCCTCTTTCTTTTATTTTTTCTCCTCTTTCCTGTTTTTCCTTTCCTGTTCTTCTTTCCCATTGCAGTGTCCATAAAATCTGTAATACTCCCTGCATGAATAATAAAGCTATTTACATGCATAAATCAAGCGGAACACTATGGCGATAGCCGTACTGCTCCACTTGTGAAAGTAAAATCTGTTGGGCTCTTTTTGCCATTTATTCTCATCGCCACATTGCCAGACAGGACGATGGAGAAAATAAAAATGATTGTGCTCTGTGTAATACTATCTTTAATTTGGTCAAACAATGTATGTTAATTTGTGCATTGTTATACATTTGTATGCTTTTATTTAATGATCTTATGGCTTATTTTGAGAAATGAAATAGAGAATTGCAAGTAAACACTGACATTTCTGCGTCTGAAAAGTTTTGAATATCTAAAAGTAAAGTTATCTTTTTTTTTCTATGTCATGATTCACTGCTACTTTTTACTATACTGCTCCTATAAAAATAAAAAGAGGTTCGCATGTGACCAAATGTTCAACCTTTGAGATTAGGATGTAAAACACATGACCTGAAATTTAATAGTAATGTGGATTTAATGATAAAAACATGTGATAAATTTTTTTAATACACTGACAGACATATTTCACCATCATTCATGTAAAATAAATACACTCATTAGTATTAATTTAGAGTAAGTATACTTTCTTAATTCAAAATATATACATTGGACAAATATATATTCTAAATAAATAAGCTACATTAAAGTAATGATTATGCGTCATTTAAGGTTTATTAAACAGGTTGATGTTAAAAATGTTCTTAAAAAACTTGAAACTTGAATTGGTTATGTAATAATGTTACACGAATCTCAAAATTTGGGATGAAATATTTTTCTGTACGATTCACATTTGAGGCACATGTTGCCTCCGCTCCTGTTTCTGTATTTCACATGTGTGTCACATGAGATTCACATGTCGGCCTGCCATCCTCCTAGCCTCGTGAGACCATCCTGATCTCACGAGCTTTCAAGGTTTCACTCGCAGATCAGTCTGGAGACTCTCCGTTAAAGAAAATTTGGAGCCGTTCACCAAACGAACGTCCAATCAGCGTTGGCTTTGAGGCGGGTTGAGGTGTGACGCAACGAGAAGCGCGACCGTTCAGTCTAAAGAACATGGCGGCTTCAGCCGATGAAACTAGCGTTAGCTAGTTAGTTAGTTTTATCATAATTACAGAGTATTTCTTCACTGGAAGATGAGCAAAACACTGCTCTGGAGGCTTTTCTCAGAGGAAAAGATGTTTTTGCTCTTCTGCCGACTGGTTTTGGCAAGAGTAGCCTGGCTTGTGCACGTCATATGCTTCGTTGATCTGATTGGTTTATTTGGCCCGTCTATCACCAACATAGGCCAATCAGCTAACCAGTATTTCTCCCCTTCGCAAAATTACTTCAACGGAAGGTTTCCAGATGGATATGCGGAGCAAATCCATCTGGTGGAGTCAGGTTACCATCCACCATCATAGAACATGCTGGACCAATTAGAGCTGAAGTCTTCTTCTCAGAGCTGAAGTGAGCGCCTACATTCCTGGGAACATAGAGACACGCTAATCTTGTTAGCTACTCTAATCTTTAATATAAGATGCTAAAGACAGTCTATAACTAATCATTGGAAAAGAAGTCTGTTTGTCCTTGATTAAGAGTATTGAAAATCCTGTTTGATTGTGGCTGTTTTCTCAAACACAGAGTGTGACATCACCTCTGCTTCTAACATGATGTAATAAAACATAATTACAATCATTGATGGTGGGACTAGAATTAACTAAACAATTAGTTTTAAATATTTGTTATATTATGTTTTATGATTCTTGATGATTCATCAGAATAGCAAAGAAATCAATTGATATATCAAAGCTTTATGAAAGAAATTGGCAAAAAAAAATTACGGATATTGGAAAACTAAATAAATAAATATATGAGCAGCACATTTTTAGTTATTCAATGCTCTTTATATGGATATAATTTTCCTGTACAGCGAACTCTCTTTTTTAATATGTGGATAATAAAGACAAACAACCATTCATTAACACTAAATTCATCTAAGGAGAATTTAGATTAACCTAATGGTCATGTTTCTGGACTGTGGGAGGAAGGGAGTACCCAGAGAGACCCCACGCATGCACAGGGAGAAAGACTCAAGGCCAGAAATCGAACCTGGAACCTTCTTGCTGAGAGGCAGCATTGCTATCCACTGGTCCACTGAGCAGCTCACTGTAACTATCATTTAAGCCTCAATAGTCTGTCCTTTTAACCGAGCTATGTTCCCCAAGAGTCTGTGCTTTTTTTTTTTACTTGATGGACATGTTGGAAAAAAGAAATTTAAAAGAACCAATTTTATAAATTGATATATAAAATTTTCTTTTTTTCCCCCCAAATCTTGTTAACAGTATTTCTTCAATATTTTTTTTTTTTTTGGCAGCTTTTTATATTTTCAGTTTCTTTTTTTCAAATTTCTCTTTTTCAGATTCAATTTTAGCAACTGCATTCTTTTCAATCACAGAACACATTCTTTGCACTTCAAGCCAAATATCTTGGTCCATATTTGTAAAAAAAAAAATTATTTGCTAACGACCATGCAGACAAATAGAAGAACATTTTCACTCTTCAGAGGAAAAATTGCCCCCCTAGATTGAAAACTATTTGATCCGTATTTTGAAAAGACAATTTAAAGAACTCAATCTGAAAAACAAAATTTGGAAAAATATTGTTATATCTGTAAAATAAATATAAAAATGTATTAAGGAAATATAAATCTCTAAAAATACAATTTGAACATATAAAATTTATAAAAATTTACAAAATTTGTAAAAAAAAAAAAAAAAAAAGTAAAATTAGAGTAAATCTAATCCTGTCTCCTGCCACACAAACAAAATCCACTATTGTCTAATGTTTAGATCTAAGGAGAAATCCCTGAATCAGATTTCAAAACAACTAATAAATCTAATTAAATACAGACGAATACACCGTCAAAATGCCGCTCATACTCTTATGACCAGAACAAAATGTAATTGAGATTAAAAAACACTTAAAATGAGTCTTGGTGAAGAGTCAGCAGCAAAAGTTGAAAAGAACCAAACAACAAAGAAAATCAGGCATGTATTAAACCCTTTGCCTTTTCCCATATTTGCATCCATATCTGTGTGAGTTCCAGATGATGGAGGATCTTTTCTGCATCGAAAACCGATCTCAGTAAGATGCTTCAAAACAGAAATAGCAGCAGCCTTTTCAGGCCTCGTACTTTATGCAATCATCCTTTATGGTGATTTAGTGAGTGTGGGGGCTGCTGGAGGCAGATGAACACAGCAAATCCAAATCTACTGAAGTGTAATAAAAACCTCCATAGTTCCTCGCCAAAAAAACATTCTTGTTCATTTTTTAAAATCGTTTTCAATAATTCATTTGAGTTCCTGTTAAAGCTCAGACAAAAATGTGGCAGAGACATAAAATGGAGAAGAATTTAGAGGATAAATGTCTCCGTCCTGCTGCTCCTCCCACACAAAACCTCGAGCATAGGCAAAACCTAAAAATAAAGCATCCCCAGTGGGACTCAAACCCCTATCCTCTGAGTGGGAGTCAAATGCTGAACACCTTCAGAAACCCTCCTCAGGCTCACACCATCCTCATCTGGACAAAAAAAAAAAAAGGAAAATCAGATAAAAAATGATCTGGTAGGAAAATAAAAACTTTCATCCTGTAATAAAAGTGCAAAGTAGGCATAAACTGGTAACCAGTCTGTAAGGTCTAAAACTGTTAGTGTTTAAAAACTGCCCCAGTTTAGCATCACCCTGTTCCTACAGTTTAAACATTTAAGCTGCATAAAGTACTCCCTCCCCAACCTGTTGCTGTTTGTCAGGGGGTTGGATTGATATGTTAGGTGGGTTTGCTATAAGGAAAACTA